CCCTTCGGGCAAGGGGAGGTTCGCGGTTTCTAGTTGCTCGGGGGATTTTTCCCCAAAATTGTGTTAATTGTCTTTCACCTGTTCAGGAAAGAGTCTTGCAAAGAACATTTCTGATGGGCCCTTGTAAGCTGTCTGCTGTGAATGTGCAGCTTGTTAAGATGCTCAAAAAAACAACCCCAAAAGGCCATACCGAAATCCTGCTGGGCCTGACTGCTGCCACAGAGCGCTTGCCTTCTGGGGGGCCGGTCACTGCCCAGTAACTCCTGAGAAGCAACAAGGGCCTTTGTAAGGGGGAGGGGAGCTCTTGGGGTGCAGGAGGTGCCCCCGCAGCAATAGCCTCTCCTGAAAGCAGTTTGTTTTTCAGCTATTAAAGTTAAACTTTCTCCACTCTTCTTGATATTAGTCAGATAGAACACTGTATTAATCCAGCAGATTGGCCTGGATGACTAGTTAAGATCTTTTCTAGCTTCTTCCTTCAATTTAAGGAGGAAATGGAGCTGTTTGAACACTGCACTTGATTTTGACGCCGACCAAACTCCGTATATTGCTCGTATATTCTCTTCTGTTTTGCTTTCTTTGGGAGTAAACGGTTTCTTAGACATCATGCTCGTGGAAATCAGTGGTGAGGCAGGGGGCAAAATGTCTTGTTTTGCTGTCACCATAAATCATTTTGGTTTTCATCGATAGGACAACACTTAAAAGTGTGCTACATTCTAGACGTGAGCCAGCCTCTTAAACAGTTTATTCTGTTTTTAAAATGTGTGTGCATGTCATTTACAATCAGGGTATGGAGGAAAACTTGGGGTTTTTTTTAATCTTTCAGTGCAAATATCATAACTGCATTGCTTTATGTGGAAACTTAGTATGTAGTATAAATATGGTTTAAACAAGCATTCATAAAATGAAATACATCATCCATGTCAGTAGTCTCAGAATTTGCCGGAATTTTCGTTGTTGCTTTTGACTACAGCTTTCAAGTCTTTCCTACCTTCCCAATTTAAGAAAGAAAACCAGGGAATCAAACCAGAACTTTTTTCCTAGCTTTAGCTCAACTGCTGTAATTCAGATAGTAGCCATTTCAAATTTGTTTCTAGACATGAATGGATTCATAGAATCATGAAAGTTGGAAAAGACCTTTAACATCATCAAGTCCAACCATCAGCCCAACACCATCATGTCCCCTGCACCATGTCCTCAAGTGCCACGTCCACACGTTTTTTGAATACTTCCAGTGATGGTGACTCCGCCACCTCCCTGGGCAGCCTGTTCCAATGCTTGATCACTCTGTTGGTGAAGAAATTTTACTAATACCTAGTCTAAACTTCCACTGGCGCAACTTGAGGCCATTTCCTCTTGTTCTGTTGCTAGTTACTTGGGAGAAGAGACCAACACCCACCTCACCACGACCCCTTTTCAGGTAGTTGTAGAGAGCAAGACCGGCTGTGTTGGATAACTGTTACTTGAGTATAGTAAAAGTTCAATGTTCAGGTTTGAAAGAATATAACATAGTAAATAGATGATTTTTTTTTCTATAATGCAAAGGCCAGTTAAAGTGGGGAGTGATACTGGATCATGCTTTAAGTAGCCTAACTTCTTTTTTCCTAATCCATATTGGAATTGGATAATAGTCTTTATAGTTTTAACTCTTGAAGTCACAGTAGTTTCCTTTGAATCTTTTTCATTACAACATTTCTTCTCTTGTCTTGTAAAGTCTCTTTGAGAAAAAAATTTCAGTACCATTATGATTGTGTTGATTGTTTCTGCTATTCTTTTTCTCTAAAAGAAGCTGAAGTTCCTTTAGGTCATGGAATCTTCCAGTTGACAAAGGAAATGGGTTTGGGATTAAGATATCACAAATTAAGATACTACAACTGCTGGTTTTCTTGTAGTGGGACATTTGTCAGCAGAGCACCACCTTAGCAGTTTTTGGTGCTTCTGTTAGCAGCCAAACTGAGTGAGAAGATGCAAAACTGTATTAATTTAATGAAAATAGATCTTAAAAATCCATTATGCAAGTTTATGTAGATATATAAAAGGAACTCCTGTGCAGCCAGCAGACTGGGTACACTAAAGGGTACATTAATGTTAATTAGTTAAAACCTCATTGAATTAAATAATTGTTAGAAAATACTGGCACTTCCATCATGTGCCCCCATCTCCTTTTTCCAAGTCTAGAGACATACATACAGGAAAAAAAATCTTTTTTGTGAAGAAGCTAGGGTAGCTCGATTGGAAGGAGAAATGAAATGTCTGATTCTGTCTATGCAAATTTTATCCAGCATATTCTGTAATCTAAGAAAACTTCTCTTAGGCCTTTCTTCTTTTTCTTGCGGAGATACTAAAAAATAGTATATCCTCTTGTCAAATGCAACTGAGTGGTAGATGATAGACTGCTTTTCTCACTTAACGTCCATATGTGAAATTGAATGCACTGTATTGATTTCTGCTGCTTTTTTAAAGTTTGATGCTTCAAAATGTTAAAGGAAACAAAAAAGTTTATTGGTAAATCCCTTCAGCCAGCACGACCTGTGCATCATCTGTCTTCTAAACAAGGTGAGTAGCATGGCTAAGATACAGTTCACTTTACCAAAGCTTCAGCTGCTTTTAAGGAAATAACAAGGATGTGTAAGGAGACTTGGGAATTTTTTTTTTTAATAACTTTGTTCAAACTACAATGATGTATAAATACCTTGCTATGTGTTATCTTACTACATCATCTCTTGTGATAAGATCTGAATTTAGACTACATTAGTGTTATGCAGAACTCTCTTTGGTGGTGGTGTTGGAGCTTGGCATCTGAAATTCTCACTTCAGAAAGCTGGATCAGGCTTCTCTATTAAATTTGGATTTCTTGGGTTAGTTGACTCCTGCTACCGAAAACATAAAATACACATAACTTAACAAATAGATTATTGTTTAAGTTTCATTGCAGGTACAATCTACTGCAAAGTATCATTCTTATCTAGCCTTCATACAGGTTTAAAACAAACCAAAAAAGGCCTAAGAAAAAAATAATGCAGTATTTATGTCAGGTGTGTATATTTTGGCTTTGTTTTTAAATCTGTGTGCCTTCTAGATACTGTAGTGTTACAGATATTATTATTGTTAAGTTAGAAATTTTTGGTGGCCAGTGAAACAGTGACAGGAGTGGTGATGTGGACAGAAGCTAAGTGGCATGATAAATTTTTACTTTCTTTAAAATTAATGGAAGAAATAGAAAAAAAGTCCTGTGGTGATATAGAGCTTTTAAGTTGTGAATAGATGCCCATATAATCTCTTAGCAGTTGGATTTCAGTAATGTTCTAGTGGTAAGTATCACAAAATAAAAATGTGGACTCTTAATTTAAAATATTTTTTTTCTTAATGCTTTCTCTTATCTTTACCAGCATCAGCCATTGCTTTAAACTTTCAGACTGAATTACCTAGCAACACTGAAGTATGTTTGCAGAGTAAGGTTGACTGGGTGAGTACTGAGTAAATAGTAGATGACAAAGTTGATGGAGTGTGTTCTAGAGTGCTATAAATTGGACGTCAGCTGATCCCGTATGTTACCGAATGAAAATTAAACTGTATTTCCAGCTAGGAATGTCTTTGAATCCATGTTTTATAAACCAGTAGTGTTAGAAGTGTTAAAAAGAAG